TGTAATCTTTCAACGATTTATTCACAGGCAGAAATGTTATGAATATTGTAATGAAAGAGATACTTTACTACTTCGTATCGTTTAGTAGACTTTACACTGACGGGCAGCAACCCGCTGTTCTTCCCATACTGCATAAACGTCACATGAAAATAATGAATCCAGGTCCGCCAATTTTTTTTATGATTTATTTTACAATTTTACAATTTATTTTATGATCTCATTTGAAATGTTCCTTAATCTGCAAATGTTAATCTCATATTTTTTAAAGACATTCTGTTGCGATATTATTAGAAAACGATGGGAAGGTAAAACCTCTGATGTTTTCTGGAGTGTTTCGAACTTTGGCGGCGCTATCTAGGGGACGAAAAAAATTACAAAAGATACGAGGGACACACCTCCCACAACACGGTCGATAACCTAATAATCCTATTAACAAAGATCACTCTCCATTTAGGAATTTGCGAGTCCTATCTTGTGCTAATAATGTACCGCAAAAGATTTATAGATGCTAATCAAAACAGCATTATCAAAATCATATCATAAGGTATTTGAGTAGACCAATGTAAACAAGTTAAAAGATACAACTCTGAGACGCTTTAAAAGCGGCCTTTTAACGAGAACGTAAGGCACCATTTTTACACGGTATTAAACTTATTAATCCTATGGCTGCGATGAAAAATAAATTACTCCACATAAAGAAAATAATCTGTTGAACAATCCTCAACGAAACGTTTCACTCCAAATACAGCACACATGTTTTAAAAGTAACGGAGGTTCATAATCACGTCAGCTTTGCTAAATAACACGTCGAAAAACACATTATATATAATATTTCTATGCTTGTTTGCGGTATATATGTATTATTTGCTTGCTTGTTTGAAGCGAAAACAGCAACAAATATACGAAAATTTTGCTCAGGTAAAAAATTCTACGTAACGCGTGTGTAATCTCATCTTTTGAATTTTTCTTCTCCAGTGCGTCCACGTAGTAACAAAAGCACGAAGGGCTGGAACCCACGGTCAGAATGGAACAGTCAGCACGGGCGAGCGGTCGAGAGGGCGCTGACGTCACGGATCCCCACGTAGACCGGGAGCGACCCTCCTGCACCCGGAGGACAACTGTGAAGCGGCGAGCGGGGCATGCCTTCGTCGAAAAGGGCCACCCCTACGGTCACACGCGCGCACTCAACTGTCACCGTGGGTTGTGATTTACGCCCACATACACGTTCACACGCACACTCACACTCACACGCGCAGCGCAATAGCGGCAGCAAACAAATAAAAAAAAACTCACAATGCAATAATAATTACGGGAACGTCAATGCATACTGTTTTCTTACGGCATGCAAGAAATATTGCAATTGTGAATATGTTTTATTATTCTACCGTGATGTTGAATACGAACGGAAAAATTTGAAGCAAAATCAAAAATGATTATATAGTTCTGAGCGTGCTCATTATCGTTCTATCGTCTGCTGGACGCAGACATAATTCTCAACCAATTTCGTACTGTTCTACTAAAGTAGAACGTCCGGATGAGCTGAAAATATGTTATTAGGAAGGAACAATCCAGTTTAGGAAAGTTAATTTGCTTTTAAACTAACAAATCACTTAGATAATTTTTTTTTCAATATCTTAATACGTATCTTATGCGTCGCTTGTTACACCGTGTGATAACGTGCGCGAACATCGCATCGTGCGCTTGGCACTGAATTTGCTTTGAAATGTTCAATATGTATTTGCAATTTTGAAAACTCCAAAGATTTTAACTAAATACCTAGTTTTTAAGAACAAATTTCATAAAGATAAAAATCTCTATCATCAATATTGCACAATGACACAATTCCGCAAGCGACATATGCACCCTGGTAGATTCACAACCTATTAGTACTACATGCGACATTGCGTGTAGAAGAAGAGAAAACTTGAAAAAGTTTCATGGCGATATAATTTGTATAAAAAAAGCAATACGCAACTCCGGGATTATGGATACTTATATGAATTCGAGTGGTTCAAGTATGCATTGCTGAGTAAGCGACAAAACGCAGTACTTTTCAAATGTCGGGTGAAAGACGAATCTAACACTAAACGTCGACATGTCTTGCGAACATTAAAATACGGCTTTAAAATTGAAACATAATGAGAGAACTAAAGAAGCAACACTAAGTATACGAAAAGTCTAAATACGTTTAATCATATGGTAATCATTTGGTATGTTTTTGAGTGACGGCCACAAACAAGGAATATCGAAGCTCCCAGCTTCTTTATCGGCGAAGTGTTGGATACGTAATTGTTACAACATTACATATCAACAGGATCCTGCCGAGTTCTTGCAATGCGTTCTGTTATCTGCTCCATGCAAAGGCACCCACCTGAACCAACACGAAAACGCGTCACGCAGAAATGCGAAAACATAACGATTGTGCGATTTCAGAGGAGACGTTTATGACTTCTCCATAGAATTGCGTTCCCATTCCACCTGGCATTCAAACTGCGCCAGAATACACTACGCCGACAACGCACAACCGTTCTGCGTGGTGCAAACGTAACCATTTTAGAGAACGGTGTCGCAGGCAATTGTGTTGGAACTAGGTGGGTATGGATGCAACAAATGCTGACACATGTTCAAAAACTACGGCAAAATTAAGATGACACGATAGTCAGACAAAATTCACCGCTACGTCAACTCAACCATCTATATCAGTGAATTGAAACTGTTCCACAACTGAATGGGCGCTGAGATACCAAATACACATTGACGTCCATAACAGTACGCTCTCGGTGACTCGGTACAACCGGAGACGGAATTATGCCTGATGCAACAAGTACACTTCGAAGTTCATAACACTACATCTACAATAACAGTAGGACTCAGAACGACTGATGACAGAATTCTGTCTGGTGTTCACGTAACCGTCGCAGTGGAACGTGAGAAGTCCCGCCGCCCACACGCAGTGCCTGAGTCGGGTCGTGCGTGCCCAGGGCGGCGGCCGCGGCGGCGGCGCCGGTGAGGGCCTAACAAGCACCCAGCGTCTCTGCATAAATCTCCTCCTCCCAAAATACGCGATTTGTCAACGTCACCCAGGAACGCCGCGTAGTTCGCCGCTCGCCCCACAGATGGCACTTCGCGCTGCACGCCGTCCCCCGCGGTGGGGGCCGCCACGGCTTCCATTGGCTCCGGTCACGCACGCTCCGCCCGCGGCGCCGCAGCGGGCTCCTCATTGGCCGCGCACGCGACGTTCCTGCCGCGGCGGGGGAGTCCGCGAGGGAGGGGGCAGGCGAGCCTATAAAAACACCCGCGCGCCGCCGGCGAGTTTACTTTGAGCTTCGCCATCGCCCTGTGAGGTTAAGTGATCGGTTCGCGCTCTCGTGCGTGGTAGCGTCGAGTCCCCGAGACAGTTTCGTTCCGAGTGAGCAGCAGTGATGAAGGCCGTGTGCGCGAACACCCCGAGCGGCGGATCGGTGGCGAACGGACGCGTGCACCGACCGCGGCGCGACGTGGAGAACGAGGAGATCCAGATGTACCTGTCCAAGCTGAAGGAGCTGGTCCCGTTCATGCCGCGCAACCGCAAGCTGTCCAAGTTGGAGGTCATCCAGTACGTGATCGACTACATCTGCGACCTGCAGTACGCCCTGGAGACGCACCCGGCCGTGG